ATGTGGAGGTAAATGAGCTTTTCTTATCAAACATTCCTTTTGGGTGCTCTGTATCAGACCTGTTCTGGCAAATAAATAGAAGACACCAGGATAGACTGTTTTATTTCCTTGTGTAAGTGCCTCAGGAGACACATTTCTTATTTCTCAAGCATAACTTTGGAGACTGGAGTTTCCCATTTGGGTAGTGTTGGTGTTGAGCAGGGAAAGCTGCTAGTTATTGATTGCCATTGAAGTCATTTCACAAAGGCTGTAAAACCCAAGGATTGCTCTTTGGACAGACCTGCATCTGGTACAGCTTCCCCCTCTATGAAACTGTTGTAGGTTAAAATAGTTTTGACAGTGTCTTTAAGTGCACCTCTTTGTCTCCAAACACAGTTAGTGTTTAAAATGAAGCCCTCGTAGTTAAGGTTTTGTGACTTAGACAGCAGCTCCATCTGGTGCTTGCTAAAGGTGTTTGCTTGGTTCATGTCTCAGTTTTATACCAGATGAATACAGATGGGCACAAACTTGTAAACGAATGTCATATGAAAGATGGGTTTCTAGTGCACACAACACTAACATAATCAAATGGTCTTCCTGGTGAGTCTCATTTGGCTATTCTGTTGATAAGTGATAGCTGCTAATCAACTTAGCCATCTTTTGACTGAATTAACTTACTTTTGCTCAAAGTGGGGAATTATTTTTACTATTACCTGCTAGTCTTTGAAAAAGCAAATACGTTGTAGAACTTACAAAGAGAAAACTTAATCCCACTCTTATCAGAGGTCTGTTTAACTTAGTTAACAAGATATTATGCCAAGATGCCTTTTTCTTTTTTGTATTCAGTGCTGCACAGTGCTAAGTACACAGGGAATTTTTTAATTTAAATTCTTGGTGACTGACAGGAACTGCCCCAAACTGTTAATAGAAGTTACTTCTGAATAATAGGTTTACATATGGTTTCTGTTTTCTTTATGCTTTTCTGAGTTTCCACAGTGAGATATACAACAAAAGAAAAAAAAATCTACCAAAAAAGGTAAAAACAAAACATATTGTAGATAGTCGTAGCCTTGAGTCCCAGTTCTGGGTCTTTTTTATTTACTGTGCATCCTTAGGAAACTCACTTTCTCTTCTAGGCTTCAATTCCTTTTTCCACAAAACACAATTGAATTAGCAACCTGCACAGTTTTAACATTCTAAGTATTATGATTCTTCCCTCTTTCCTGTTTTTTCAGCCTCTCACCCTGGCCTGTATCTTTCCCCAATATTACCATTCAGCATTATCTAGGTCCTCCCATCTTAAAATAAGAAAATCCTTTCTGGACCCCCATCCTCCTAGCTCCTTCTTGCTTCTCCTTCCTGCCTACTCTTCTCCAAAAGTTATCTACGATTGCTCTGTTACCTCATTCTTCAACTTACTGCAGTCTGGTTTCCATCCCCACCTGAACCAAATAGTTCATGCTAAGGTCACTGATGAGCTCACATTGCCAAGTCCAGTGGGCATGTATGTAAGTCCTCATTTTCTGTTACCTCTCAGCAGCATTTGAAATAGTTATTGTCTTTCTCCTTCACGACATTTCCTCATCTGGCTTCTGTGTCATCACACCTTGGCTGTTAGTTTTCAGTTAGGGGAGAGGAATTAGCCCCTTCTCCCTGGTTCACCCACCAAGGCCACCTCCTTAGCTCACTATTTTCTTTTCAGCCTAAATATCTCTATACTAGTAATTCCTAAGCAGATGAGAACCACAGAATTCTCATCCATGTTTCAGACTTCTAAATTCATATACTCTCTTGTATGCAGGGTGACAAAATATGGACTCATAATCTTCCCTTCAAAAGTTGCACCTCCTCCAATGTTGTCATCTCAGTAAATGGCTCCACAAATCATTTGAATACATAAACCCAAAACCTCAATACCTTTTACTCTTCAGAATCCAGTCATTCCTGCATGTTTCTCTGCCTTCCCTGACACCACATCCTAGTCTAGATCCTCATCAGATCTTAGTTTGCCTATGTCAGTCCTTTAAGCCTCCTGTCCTGTTCTTCCCAAGTCCATTTTCTACATAGCAGCAGAGCTGTCTTTTTAAAGTCAGGTTTATTGAGGGTAAATTTACATGTAGTAAAATTCACCTTTTTTAAGTGTGTGATTCTATGAGTTGTTTGTTTGTTTTTTGAGGCAGACTCTCAGACTGCGGTGCAGTGGCACAATGCAACCTTGGCGCATTGCAACCTCCGCCACCCAGGTTCAAGCAATTCTCATACCTCAGCCTCCTGAGTAGCTAAGATTACAGGTGTACACCACCATGCATGGCTAATTTTTGTATTTTTGGTAGAGACAGGATTTCACCATGTTGGCCAGGCTAGTCTCAAACTCCTGGCCTCAAGTGATTCACCCACCTCGGCCTCCCACAGTGCTGGGATTACAGGCATGAGCCACCGCGCCAGGCGGGTTCTGTGAGTTTTGACAAGTGTATGCAGTTGTGTAACCACTGCCACCTAACATTTAGATTGTTTCCAGCTTTTGGCTGTAAACCTTTGTGTATTTGTTTTAGTGTAAACAAAAGTTTTTATTTATCTTGGGTAAATCTAGGAGTGGGATTGCTGGGCTCCAAGGTAAGTTTATGATTATAAGAAACCGCAAAACTGTTTTTCAGAATACCTGAACCATTTACATTCCCACCAGCAATATATGAGAGTTTCAATTGCTTCACATCCTCGCTAGCATCAGATGTTTTTGTTTTAATTTTATTTTAAGCATTCTAATAAACGTGTAGTGGTAGCACATTGTAGTTTTAATTTGCATTTCCATGTGGCTAATTATGTTTACTAAAATATTGTAAATTTTATTTACTACAATATTGTAAATATTGTAAATTATATTTACAATATTTATATTGTTTAAATGTAATCCATGTATCTTTGGCCGGGCACAGTGTCTCATGCCTATAATCACACCACTTTGGGGAGGCCAAGGCAGGTGGGTCCCTTGAGCCCAGGAGTTTGAGACCACCCTGGACAACATAGAGAAACCCCATCTATACAAAAACATAGAAAAATTAGCCAGGCATAGTGGCATGCGCCCATAGTCCCAGCTACTCCAGAGGCTGAGGTGAGAGGCCTGATTGAGCCAGGGAGGTTGAGGCTGCAGTGAGCTGTGATCATACCACTGCACACCAGACCGGGTGACAGAGCGAGATCCTATCTCAATAAAAAAAAAAAATAAAAAATCGTATATATTTGGTTAAGTGTCTGCTCAGATCTTTTACCCGTTTTTTATTGGGTTTTTCTTTTCGTTGAGTTTTGAAAGTTCTTTATATATTCCAGATACAAAGTCCTTTGTCAGATATGAATGTTTCACAGAATTTCTCCTACTCTGGGGCTTGTCTTCATTCTCTTATCATTATTTTTTTTTCTGCAAATTTTTTTGATAAAATGCAAAATATAATTAGGTACAATATTTTATAACAGAGGTTTGCTAGTGAGAAGAATAAAATTCCATTTTGGGGAGGATAACATTTTGCTGGGTGAGGATTCAAAGTTAGTACTTCCTCTTATCAAAATTGATTACAAATGTTCATCTATTAATGCATATCTGTAATGAAATTTTAGGTATTTCATAATTTTATGTATTATCTTTGAAAAATGTCATTTCACACAGCTGATAGATGCACCAGTGAAAATCCTGCAATTTGTAGAGTGCCACAAAGCAGCAAAAGTGAAGCATACAGTCTATGTGTCACACATGTCATAGCTACTTATCTCTCCATTGTAGCACAGAAGCAGCCATAGGCAAATGAGTATGTAAACAAATGAGTGTGACCGGCGTTCCAATGGAGCTTTATTTGTGGGTACTGTATTTAGAATTTCATATAATTTTCACTTGTTGCAAAACATTATTCTCCATTTGATTTGTTTCCAACCATTTAAAAACATAAAAAGCATCCTTAACCTCGGGATATGAAAACAGGAATGAGCTACATTTGGCCTCTGGGCTATAATTTGCTTACCTTTCCCCCTTCTTCCTCCCTTCATCTATCAGTGTTTTGTAGTTTTGCTCATATAGATTCTAGATTTTACACATATTTTGTTGGACTTACATACCTAAGAATATCATGGGTTTTAGTCAGAGCTATCTTTTTAAAATGCAAATTGGATTATGTTGTTTCCCCTATTCAAACCCTTCAGTGGCTTCCCACTGCTCTTAGGATAAACTCTGTAATCTTTAAAAGCCTAAAAGGCCTTGCGTGATCTGGCCCCTGCTTTCCTTTTCAGCATTTTTTTTTTTTTTTTTTTTTTTTTGAGACAAGGTCTTACTCTGTCACCCAGGCTGGAGTACTGTGGCACAATCTGCCCACTGCAACCTCTACCTCCCAGGCTCAAACAATCCTCCAGCCTCAGCTTCCTGAGTATCGGGGACTATAGGCGTGTGCTACCACACCCAGCTAATTTTTATATTTTTTTTAGAGATGGGGTTTTATCATGTTAGCCAGGCTGGTCTTGAACTCCTAGGGTCAAGTGATCTTCCCACCTTGGCCTGCCTCCCCACATGCTGGGATTATAGGCGTGAGCCACCGCACCCAGCCCTGAGGCCTCATTTTCAATGCATTGAGTTTGAGGAGTCTGTGAAATGTCTAAAATGTACAAGGGTAGGTGGAAGAAGAGGAACCTATAGTGGCCTGGGAAGTGTTAGAGAAAATGGTGGATAACAGAAGGAGTGGAATCAAAGGCATTTCTGGGAGGGATGTAATGATTCATTTCACAGAATCATTACAACAGAGACATCAAGCTGAAGATTATGTATGGTTTGATAAGAGTACATAAAATTATGGTTAAAAAGCTCACTTTCCAATATGCTGATCAACTAAAGGAAAATTATGAAGTACCCAAATTAGTTTAGCTCTCAATCTTTTAATTTAAGGAAAAGTTTAGGAGTGGGGTCAGTTTTTTCAAGTCACTAATAATGGTAAGTCTCATAGTGCCTTTTTCATTCAGACTTTTTTCTTCTTTCTCCCCCTCCACAGATTGATCATTCTTAGAAGAGCTGCTGTAACACATAGGGGAAGTGAAAACTAACAGATGAAAGTTTTGTCATGCACTGAAAGAAAAGCATTGTCTGTGAAGTTCTGTTTTTAAAAATGTCTGCTTGTAACACCTTTACTGAACACGTTTGGAAACCTGGTGAATGCAAGAATTGCTTTAAACCTAAAAGTTTGCACCAGCTCCCCCCAGACCCTGAGAAGGCACCCATCACCCATGGCAATGTGAAAACTAATGCCAATCACAGTAATAACCACCGCATCAGGAACACCGGAAATTTCCGGCCTCCTGTGGCTAAAAAACCCACTATAGCTGTGAAGCCCACTATGATAGTGGCAGATGGGCAAAGTATATGTGGTGAGTTTGGCATCCAAGAACACTGTGAGAACAAACCTGTTATCATAGGGTGGAACCGAAACAGAGCTGCCTTGAGTCAGAAACCACTTAACAATAATAATGAAGATGACGAAGGAATTAGCCATGTTCCTAAGCCTTACGACAATAATGATACTGCGAAGAAGATGTCAAATAACAATAATGGACTAACTGAAGTGTTAAAGGAGATAGCAGGCTTAGATACTGCCCCTCACATAAGAGGAAATGAAACAAACTCCAGAGAAACATTCTTGGGAAGAATAAATGATTGCTATAAACGATCATTGGAAAGAAAGCTTCCACCAAGTTGCATGATAGGTGGGATAAAGGATACTCAGGGCAAGCGTGTTATTCTGAGTGGGAGCACGGAAGTGATTAGTAATGAAGGGGGCCGGTTCTGTTACCCAGAGTTTTCCAGTGGCGAGGAGAGTGAAGAGGATGCACTTTTCAGTAACATGGAGGAGGAGCACGAGAGTTGGGATGAGAGTGATGAAGAGCTGTTGGCCATGGAGATTCGCATGAGAGGGCAACCTCGCTTTGCCAACTTCAGAGCAAACACTTTGTCTCCTGTTCGATTCTTTGTGGACAAAAAATGGAATACCATCCCCCTGCGAAACAAGTCTCTGCAGAGAATCTGTGCTGTGGACTATGATGACAGCTATGATGAAATCCTAAATGGTTATGAGGAAAATTCGGTGGTCTCTTATGGACAAGGAAGCATTCAGAGCATGGTGTCATCTGACTCCACATCACCAGATTCTTCTTTAACAGAAGAATCACGTTCTGAGACAGCCAGTAGTTTATCCCAGAAGATTTGTAATGGGGGAATATCTCCTGGTAACCCAGGAGATTCTAAGGACATGAAGGAAATTGAGCCCAATTATGAAAGTCCCTCTAGTAATAATCAGGATAAAGATTCATCACAAGCTTCCAAAAGCTCAATAAAAGTTCCAGAGACCCACAAAGCAGTCCTTGCTCTCCGATTAGAAGAGAAGGATGGCAAGATTGCTGTACAAACTGAGAAGGAAGAAAGTAAAGCCTCTACAGATGTTGCTGGGCAAGCAGTAACCATAAACCTTGTCCCCACAGAAGAGCAAGCAAAACCCTACCGAGTTGTGAATCTGGAACAGCCATTGTGCAAGCCATATACTGTCGTGGATGTGTCAGCAGCCATGGCCAGTGAGCACCTCGAGGGCCCTGTTAACAGCCCCAAGACAAAAAGCTCATCTACTCCAAACTCTCCAGTTACGTCATCTTCATTGACACCAGGACAAATAAGTGCCCATTTCCAAAAATCCAGTGCAATTCGATACCAGGAAGTATGGACTTCTAGCACCAGTCCACGACAAAAGATACCTAAAGTGGAACTAATTACTAGTGGAACTGGACCAAATGTTCCTCCAAGGAAAAACTGTCACAAATCAGCACCTACATCACCCACAGCTACAAACATTTCCTCCAAAACCATCCCTGTTAAGTCACCTAATTTGTCTGAAATAAAATTCAATAGTTATAACAATGCTGGTATGCCACCTTTTCCAATTATCATTCATGATGAGCCAACTTATGCTCGGAGTTCCAAAAATGCTATCAAAGTTCCCATTGTTATCAATCCAAATGCATATGACAATCTAGCTATCTACAAAAGTTTTCTGGGAACAAGTGGAGAACTCTCAGTGAAGGAAAAAACCACAAGTGTAATAAGCCATACTTATGAAGAAATAGAAACTGAAAGTGAAGTGCCTGATAACACCACTAGCAAAACCACTGACTGTCTTCAAACTAAAGGGTTTTCAAACAGCACAGAGCGTAAAAGGGGCTCAGTGGCTCAGAAGGTTCAAGAGTTTAACAACTGTCTCAACAGAGGTCAGTCTTCGCCACAGAGAAGCTATAGTTCCAGTCACAGCTCCCCAGCAAAGATCCAGAGAACCACTCAAGAGCCTGTGGCCAAAACAGAAGGCACTCAGGAGTCTCAGATGGTGGGCAGCAGCAGCACCAGAGAGAAAGCAAGCACAGTGCTTTCGCAGATCGTGGCTTCAATCCAACCCCCACAGTCTCCTCCAGAAACACCTCAATCTGGCCCTAAAGCTTGCAGTGTGGAAGAGCTTTATGCCATTCCTCCAGATGCTGATGTTGCTAGGAGTACACCTAAGAGTACGCCAGTCCGGCCGAAATCTCTCTTTACATCTCAGCCTAGTGGTGAGGCTGAAGCACCTCAGACCACAGACAGTCTTACCACCAAAGTACAGAAAGACCCATCCATAAAGCCAGTCACCCCCTCTCCCTCCAAATTAGTGACTAGCCCCCAGAGTGAGCCACCACCTCCCTTTCCCCCACCACGCTCTACTTCCTCTCCTTACCATGCAAGTAACCTTTTGCAGAGGCATTTCACCAACTGGACCAAGCCAACCAGCCCTACCAGGTCAACAGAAGCTGAATCAGTTTTGCACTCTGAAGGCAGCAGGCGGGCAGCTGATGCAAAGCCTAAGCGCTGGATATCATTTAAAAGCTTCTTCCGCCGTCGGAAAACAGATGAGGAGGATGACAAAGAGAAAGAGCGAGAGAAAGGGAAACTGGTGGGCCTGGATGGCACCGTCATTCACATGCTGCCTCCTCCTCCAGTTCAGCGCCATCACTGGTTCACAGAGGCAAAAGGAGAGTCCAGTGAGAAACCAGCCATTGTCTTCATGTACAGGTGTGACCCTGCTCAAGGCCAGCTCAGTGTGGATCAGAGCAAGGCTGGGGCAGACCAGGCAGCAGTCATGGAGAAGGGTAGAGCAGAGAATGCATTACTACAGGACTCAGAGAAGAAGAAGAGGAGTCATTCTTCTCCATCACAGATTCCTAAAAAGATTCTCAGGTATGTAAAATAGACTGGCAGAATATGGGAATTTTTTAACACATTCTCAGGTGCTAAGTTTTTTATATCTTTTAAGATTGCGTAAGAGCCATTTCTGTTTGTAAGTAGCACTCTGTGGCCATCATCTATCTTTATAACTGCATTCCAAGATTAGAATAGTATTAAAGTGAGCTTATTGTACTGAACAAGGTTTATAGTCCTGGATCTTTGACTTAAGTAGCCTACTGCATTCTGGTGAATGCAGAGGAACTTTAACATAGAAAAGCAAATCCGTAACACCTTAATAGCGATAAAATGTTGTTTTGAAATGTGATGGTAGTGTGAGGAAGAAATAGGATCAAATGAATAAATGGTAATACTATTCTTTCCCTCACTGTAAATGAAATAAAACTCTTCCAGCAATTCTTTTTGTTTTTTATGAAGGTGTTATCTCTATATGCATTACTTATTTTAAGGGAATGTTTGTTTTTTTATTGCTGTCTCTTTCTGTCCTCCTTCCAAATGTTGTGGAAAAAAATGGAGGGTGGTAAGCAAGCAATTTATAGTTATTTAGCATGTGGGTGAAATAGGAGAAGTTGAGTATTGAGACTGAGACCCAGTACTATAATCCTTGGTTCAGCTAGACAGATTGCATACCCAAATCAGTTCTCTAGGCATTCATTTTCTTTAACACCTTAGTAGCTATTTATTGATCACCTGTTTTGTGTAAGGTATATATTAATATTTATCTCAGATCCTTATAAATTTGCTATATTCTTCAGATAAGGAAACTGAAAACCTGGGAAGTTAACAATTGAACAGAGTCACAAAGCTAGTACTTGTCAGAGCTGGAATTCAAACCTCAATCTGTCTCATTCTAAAGCATGTATCCTCCTTATAATGTTGCATTCTTAACAAACACAAGATCGGTCAAAATTGTTATATTCTCACTTGTAATCATTCACATAAACACATATGTTTTTGGAAGCCTAAGTTTTTCTTTCTTATTTATATTGTAAACAAAATGAATTAACTGCCAATAAAAGCAAGGAACTTTTATCCCAAGTTTGTGACAAATAGGATGATTTCCCTATACTTCCTGTCCTTTTTATTCTTAAACAAGGATATGCCCTGAGTACTCCATTCATCTGATTCTGAGTCCTTCTCCCTCCTGACTTAAAGTAAACCTCTACCTGGCCTGGCCTTCTTTCCGACAAAACGTCGCAAATTCTGATGGATGGGGCAGATTTACCCGTTTTTCTTTAGAAAAGTATAATAAAAAATGAAGTGAACACTTAATGCTTTTACTTTTCCTAGCAAAATGCTAGGAAGTTTTATATACATTCTTTACTAAAATGAGCTTTTCACATACCTCCAAATTGTTGTCAAAATGCTAACAAGTCCCTGTTTTCCTTCAATCCGTGTAGTAACAAAGCAACTAGGATGATAGTCCTAGAAAAAATAGTCTTGTCATTGGTAGTTGAATGTTATATTCCAAGGTAAGGTATTCAATGACAGAATGTACTCCAGTAGTAATAAAATACATGTATTTCAGGGTCAGGTGTGGTGGCTCACACCTGTAATCCCAGCACTTTAAGAGGCCAAGGCGGGCGATCACCTGAGATCAGGAGCTGGAGACCAGCCTTGCCAACATGGTGAAACCCATGTCTACTAAAAATACAAAATTAGCTGGGTGTGGTGGCAGGCGCCTGTAATCCTAGCTACTTGGGAGGCTGAGGCAAGAGAATCACTTGAACCGGGAAGTGAAGGTTGCAGTGAGCTAAGATCACATCATTGCACTCCAGCCTGGGCGAAAAGATTGAAACTCCATCTCAAAAAAAAAAGCACCATGTATTTCAGGTGACTGTTTTATTTAGAAAAGGGGCAGTTTAAACAGCAAATGGTTGAAGTTATATAGGAGGGAATGGTAGTCAGTTCTTACATGGCGTCATTCCTGATTAATTATCACTGTAGGTATTTATCCACATCTTAGAAGGCACAGTCAAGAAATGATTTGGCTTCTTTCTGTGGAATGAGACTCTCTCCTTTCGCTGCATGCCACGGTATACAGTTTTGAGGGCAGCCCAGGCCCTGGGCTTGGCAGACCCCTTACTATACAGCTTTTATTTCACAATTAGGTGATACAAACACCAGTCAGGTCTTCCAAAATTTATCCATTTTTTGTAGTTAACATCCATGAATCCAAATAACACAGTTCATTTGCCCATTGGTTCTTAAATTTAACCATGTTCCACAATCATCTAGAGAGCTGTTAAGACACAGATTGCCGAGCCCCACCCCTAGAGTTTTTGATTCAGTGGGTCTGGGGTGGGTCCTGATATTTTGCACGTCTAATAAGTTCCTGGGTGATGCTGATGCTGCTGGTCCTTGGGTCACACTTAGAACTGCTGGTCTCACCACCATTCTAAAGATACATGCTATAGTCTGAGTAAAGCAGTGATTGAGATATTAAGCTTTTCTTTAAGGCACATTGGAATTTTCACATTTCATAATGTCCCAGACTAAGTAGAAAAAGAGGTATTCGACAGCTTTTTTTTTACTTTTTGAAAAGTTTAAAACATGAATATGCATATTGAAAAATATATACCATTTGCTTTTTCAATATTGCCTCATTTACTTGAATACACCATTGGTATTTACTTGGAGCAACTTTGATAAGGAAAACATTACCATCAAATGTCAACATTTGTGTTTCAGGCTTGATGGCAGTGTGATCATTAAATTACCATCCCACGGCTGGGAGCACACTGCTGAAAGAAATGAAAATACAGTTTTTCCATAAGTAAATGAATATTTCAAGTGTAAACTGTATCTAAGGAATGAAGAATGAGAAATGAAAAAATACTGTACTAGAGGCCAGACCTCAGGCTCTGAAAGATGAGGAACTTTATAGACCCTTTCATTATGGGATTAGATTGTTACTATGTCCATTTATTTAACTGTTTAGGAAATATAAATTGAGTGCCTCAACTGTTCCATGTATTTGCCATGAGGCCCTGGAACAAATAGGGGGAAACATTATCCTGAAATAATGGGCTTGGGTTGGACTTCAACTGTCTGTCTGATCCTTCAGTGTATAAGGCTATAAAGATATCTATCACATAGAAGTAAGTTAAACATTTCATTAGAAAACATATAAAAAGCTTATCCCAGGGTCTGGCACACATTGAGTGCTTAAAAATGTTAGTAGGCCTTCTACCCTCAATGGATAAATGCTAAAACAACATGCAGAGTGATTAAATCAGTTTAGTGCAGACTTCTCAGGAATAAAATCTAAAGCAGATCTTTAAAGACAAATAGGATTTTGCCAGCTGGTTGGGAAAGACATTGTAGGCCAAAGGAACAATATATGCAAAGTCACAAAGGTGAGGTTGGTGGCAAACAGAAGCAGGACATGTGGCTAGAAAAGGATAATGAATAATCCAGTGTATCTAAAACATTCAAACTCAGAAGGAAAGAATGGAGTGATGGTAACCAGAGGCTTTGGGGTGAGGTGGGGTTGATGAGGAAAGGAGAGATGTTTGCCAAGGGTACAAAGTTCCAGTTAGACAGGAAGAGTAAGTTTTAAAGATCTGTTGTACAAAATGGTGACCATAGTTAATAATGACATATTGCATATTTCAGAATTGCTAAAAAAGTAGATTTTAAATGTTCTCACCACAAAAAAAAGATAAATAGATAAGGTCATAGATTTGCTAGTAACTTTATTAAATAATCTTTCTACAGCATATACATATATCAGAACATCACATTGTACCCCATAAATATATACAATTATTATTTGTTAATTTAAATTTTTTAAATTAAAATTTAAAAATAGTCCATTTGTTCTTAAAGTATGATCTGTGTAAGATCAAATAGTGATCATGCCATCATTACTAGTTTTATAATAATACAAAGACGCTTGTCTTTTTCATTGTGTTGACATTTGCACTGATGGTGCTTAAACAATAGTGGTTAAAACTACTTGCATCTTAGCATAAATCAAAGCCATGGCACCATATTGTACTAGAAGGGTTTGTTGTCGTTGTTGTTGTTGTTTTCAAGTGAGTTTCACTTAATATCCTTGGTGGGCCAGACACAGTGGCTCATGCCTGTAATCCCAGCACTTTGGGAGGCCAAGGTGGGAGGATCACCTAAGCTCAGGAGACCAGTCTGGATAACATAGTGAGAGACCTTGTCTCTACTAAAAATTTTAAAAATTAGCTGGGCATAGTGGTGTGTGCCTGTGATCCCAGGTACTCAGGAGGCTGAGATGGGAGGATCGCTTGAGCCCAGGAGGTCAAGAACTGCAGTGAACCATAATCACGCCACTGCACTCCAACCTGGGTGACAGGGTGAGACTCTGTAAGAATGCCCTTGGTGATGTAGTAAATTAAATCTGAACCCTGGAGTATCTGTCTTCCTAAAAATTCTGCGTCATTAAATGGGAAGTACACATAGAATACTTCTGCTGTGTAACAAAGTATGATGGTTCTCCCAAACAAAAGTACTTGTGAAATAGTTTGAGTTGTGAAGCTGAACTAGCCCCCTTTTTCATGGACTACCTTGAAAGGACAACTGACAGACAAACTGTGGTTATTCAAATCTGAGAGTGTTTGGCAGATATTTTCTCAAGAATGAACATAACAAACCTATTACTTCAAGGAAAACAAGTAACTGTATTTGTTGTCAGTGATATAAAATCCAAGTTTTCGAGCAGAAATTAGAATTTTTAAAAACTTATGTCTGCCAGCCACCATGACCTCAACAGCTTTCTAATACTTAAACATTCTTCTGATGAGATTGGTGGTTGAATTTGCAAACTTTTAAAAGTATTATATAATGAAATATGTCAACATTTAGAGGATCTGCATTAACTCAGTAAACCAATAATTTCCAAATAACCCAATCCATCATATTACAAAATTATACATGAGTAAAATCCATTCAAACTGCAAGATAGATCAATGGCTTTTAATGCAACTGAGTACAGAAAGTTTATTGATACGGTTTCAGAT